GGGGGAGGACGGGAGAGGGGGCAGGTCCGCCTTCCTGGCAAGGCTGCTCTGAGGGGAAGTGCTCTCTTCAGGGTCTGGCATAGAACAGTGCAGATCTTATGTCACGGGGATGCTCCAGGCTGGTGCTTGAAGCTTTTATTCATAGGGACATCTGGGGCTAAATAAAATACACTATTAAAATTAATTTCACCTGTTTAACTTTGTTTTTCCAATGTGGCTACTAGAAAATGGAAAGCTACATGTGTGCCTGGCGTTAGATTTCTCGTGGGCAGGGCCGGTTTAGCTTTGCCCGAGGTCTTGTTCCTACCGCCCGCCCACTCAGGCCCAGGCCTTTGGCCGGCTCCGCCGTCTGGCCTGCTCTGGTTCTGGCACATGTTCAGACCAGACCAGGTGTGGAGGCTGAAAGTGAGACCCACTCCTGTCGGGGAGCAAGGGGGCTGGGAGTGGCTGTCCCGGCAGCCTGGGCTTCTGGAGCCGGCAATACACCTGGGGTGTAGGTGGTCAGGGTAAGGACACTAGTAGTTTGGGGTTGGGGCAATGATCCGAGGCAACACCCCACTCTGAGAAGACCCTGGTAATCAGGGAGGGAGAGAAGAAAGTCAGGGTGACAAGAAAGGGACCGAGCTTCTACAACCAGGACTCACAATGAGGGTCCTGGTTCTGTCTGGGGTACGAGGGGTTTGTTTAGACCACAGGTTGGGGGGCGCAGCCCTTGGCCCTTTTGCAGGTTTGCCTTGGTTTTGGCTGGGCAACCTAGGAACTCCTCTGTGTGGTTAATCTTGGGGACACATACTTTGAGAAGAGAGAAACTGACACAAATGCTGTAAGGGGCTCTCTGAGGCTCAGTTAAGGCCATTTTATCGCGTGAAACGTGCGTGTGCACACGCACACATAGACTCCCTCTTAACTACCAAGCTAAATACTATCTTTTTAACAAATCTCTTTTTAAGTACTTTCCAACCCCAGCCAGAAAAGTTGCAGAGATGTCCCTCGGGGCAGGACGGGCGGACTTTCAGGCCAGACTATTTCAGAGCCTCCCACCATTTGCCCAAGGGCGCCTGGAAGGAGCACCTCAAGACAGAAAGGGGAGGACCCACTGTGTTTTATGCGACAGCAGTGAGGCGCTGTTTGGCTTTATTAGGTCTAAGGAATCGATTCAAGTCAGAAGCAGTACAGCTGCCATGTTAGAAAGATTAGTACCAAGACTGTGGCCCGACGGAGGCCCCTCGTCAACACCTCCCGGCACCACTAACCTAATGGGGGCCTCCACTCTCAGACAGGCCCGCCCCAGCTTTCAGGCCTCGGATGAGTCGCCGGGGAGGAGGCCCAGCACCTAGGTCCCTCCCAGCACCGAGCTCTCCATCTGCTGGAAAAGACAACAGGACGGTGCTTCTCTGAGCCGCCTGCCCCGGGAGCCAGGAGGGGCCTGGGAGGATGTCAGTCCGGCCTTTATCCGTCGGGAGGCAGAACCCAACCTCAGTCAGGAAAGACCCTCTCTCTTCACATATTCACAGGAAATACTGAAAGTGATGAAAAAACGTGCACAGCACCCTTTATAGCAGAGGCTGGCAAACTCAAATGCCCACCAGGACCAGCCCCAGGCGGGGGCCTGTATCAGGGAAGTACAGCAGAGGGGAGGGTGAGAAAGGGGCTCAAGGGTGTGGGGGTGGAATCACAGCAAAATGAAGACGACGACGGCACACCCCTCCCCCCTCCCCAAACAAGCTTTTTACGTGCAATCTCCCAAGTTTCAAATATTGGCAACAAACTCCTGAGTTTTGAAGTACAGCAGAGGCTTCTGCCTTTCGACTTCTGCCTTAGACAATTTTCTACCTTAAGAGAAGCTCCCTCCCCCGACCAAATAATAAAAGTCTAACCAAATCATTACAAAGAAATTAACGGATAAATAGAAAAATAGAGCAGCTTCAACAATACCAGTCCCCAGATTTTCAAACATCAACAGCAATTCATTGAGTTCACTCTTGGACAGAAGGCAGTCAATTGGGTCCTTCTATTGGAGAAATACTTTTGCATTATTAAAGTGACACATGCTGCCAAACCGCCCCAAATAAGCTGTCATCCTACCTGCCCTCACACCCATAGGCTCCCTGTTGTAGAAAAGAAACGGGGGCGCAGAGCAGCGAGGGTCCTCTTTAACATCACAGAGCCCCCCAGCCACAGGTTTGCCACTCCACATTTTGGCACTTTCACGGTTATTTTGGCAGAAATAACTCAAGGAAGTTATGCAGCACCTGCCAGAATGCTGGGCAAATAGTAGGCACAATTGCATGTGTGCTGAGTGAGTCACGCATGAATGAATGAATTTAACTTCTTCCCTTAGATAGTACTTCCTACCAGGGAAAAGCAGGAGCTGTCCTTGCTATTCCAAAGCTGGATTTCTCCTGGCGGGCAAGGAAGACAAGGGAGGTAATGCAGAGTTCCTTTTCTGCGTGAACAGGTGGTCTTCCTGGCTTTTAAGGGAACATCATTGGCCCTGTCTGACTCATAACCAGAGAAAAAAGGATTCCGGCACTCGGCACCTCTGGGCTGGGTCGGCTTTGTCCTTGGGTTAGGACCTGAGATTGAGAGCAAGTCCTATACCCTTGCATTAATCCATAACCCAACTTTCCTTCTGTTTGGTGCCCTATTCTCAAAACAACTTGGCACAGAAAGTCAATGGCAACATGAGGAAGAAAGAGGGCTCTTTCTTCGCATGGCTGTGCAAGGCTATTTCTGTCCTGGGCCAGCAGCACACTGAGCATCTCGCTCTGGCGCCCAAGCCCCCAGGGGGCAGTGCAGTCTTTATTCTGGCTTGTTCAGGAGCTGAGGTCCCAGGAACCCCAACCCTCTCTGCTCTGGGGACTCTTCCTAGAATTTGACAAGGGGAAGAGATTGGCTCATCCAATTTCTCAAAGGTGCCACGATTGGCATTTTGAGCAGAACAATTCTGTTTTTGGAGCTTGCCCTACACAACGCGAGATGCCCACTAAATGCCAGGGGCGCCCCACAGTCAGAGTGAAGCCTCGCCACACACACACACACACACACACACACACACACACACTTCCAGTGCTGCTTGCAGGTGGGTAGCCTGGCCCCTGGTTGAGTGACAGGTCTAAGATCTCCCCTCTCCCTGTTTGATAACTCCTGGTCCAGAGTTCTTTCCAGCTGCATGTGAAGTGATGGATGCTCATGCACACGACCACGGGATGCCACAGCACCACAGAGCCGCAAAGCAGGCTGCCTTCTGTCTCAATGGCACAGAGAAACCAAGGCGAGGGAGAAAAACAACCTCACTGTGACCAGAGTGACCAAATTGGAGGCGGGGGAGGGACCACGTTCCCAGAGGACACATTTTCCTAGGTCGGGCTTAGCTGAGGAAGTCCCGCTGCCTGGCTGGTATCTGTCAGTGTGGCAGAGACTGCACTCCCACGGTCATCAGTGAGGAGCTGCAGCAGCCCAGGGGTCCAGACTTCATCTGGAGTCTCCAGCGGGCTCAGCGGGAGTGTGGGCAGCTCCGTCACAGGCTCCCGACCCCTTTCCAGGATCCTCACAGTCTCCGTTGGGAAGTATGACTGTCAGCGCCAGCTCCTCCTCAGGTTCCCGGAAGTTCCCTGAAACACAAGAGAGGCAATCACCCAATCAGAAGACAGAGTCTAGGAGCGAGCAAGCTAGGAACCAAAGGAAGGAAATTGGCCCCAGTGACTATCTACTCAAACACACAACAGAATACATATCAAAACCTTAAAAATGTACATACCCTTTGACCCAGCAATTCCACTTCTAGGATTTTATCCTAAGGAGATAATTAGGAATAATTAGTGGAAATGCTGCAGTGACCTTGCTACCAGGCTAGGGATGAAACAACAGGAGGGTGGCACCTCAGAGAGAAGGAAAGAACCTTGATGGCGTCACCGGGCCCCTGAACCAAGCGGCCCTGACGCTGACTCTACCGAGACATCCTTTGGGTGAGCTCATGAGTGCCCCTGCTGCTTGTGCTAGTTTGAGTCACCGTTTCTTTATCTGTAAATGAAATCAGTTACATCCTAACTGATTTGAAGTCCAACAAAGGAATTGAACGAATTAACTGGCTCACCCATATGATGGGAAATCTGAATATCAAGATCTGTGGATTGTTTCAGTGTCAATATCCCAAAATGATAATGGAGAGGTCGAAGTTACCATTTTTTGCAATTAAATTTTTTAAATACCTGATGCAGATTTTGTATACGATATAGAAGCGAATTTCTTAACATTTAAATAGTACAAGGAGATATAGACAGATGGATGGACAGAACGGGCCTACTCCAAATAGGAACTTTGAGTGATGGGATTAAGTAGATGATTTATAAATATTTGTGTTCCTTCTTTTGTACGTGTTGAGCTTTCAGTTAGGCAGAATTCTCAGGTGGCCTCCAAGATTACCGCCCTTCGGTGAACTCATCCTGCATAATCCCCTCCCTTGAGTGTGGGGGTGACTTGTGACTATGCCTGGGTGGTTACTCCCTTGTTTGGGCACCTTATATGGCAAAGGTGATGGAGAGTCACTCCTGTGATTATGTTACATTGTAGGAGCCTGAGGATCCCCCCCCAGACCCTCCCCCCTCCCCCGACTGAAGGAGCACCTGCCTGTGAGGGGAGGGAACTCTCAGAGCTGACAGTCAGCAAGAAGGCGGGGCCCTCAGTCCTCCGGAGGCAAACAAATGAATTCTGCCAACAATCAGATGAACTTGAAGGAGGACCTGGGCCCCTTCAAGGAATGAGCTGGCCCACGTTGAGGCAGCTGTGGGAGCCCCTGAACGGAGGCCCCACGAAGCTGTGCCCTGACCCCTGACCCTCGGAAAGTGTAAGGGGATAAATGGGTGTTGTTTTAAGCAGCTAAATCTGTGGTAATTTGTTACTAGGCAATAGAAGACTGATAATGATTTTTTTTTAAAAAAAGAGACACAATAGAAGTTCATTTTAAAGCACTACTCACTTTTTCTATAACAAAGCTATACTATTCAGTACACTCTGGAGTTGGGATCATGTACATTCAGCTGGTTACAACCTGAGCACCGTCAGGCGCCCCACAGCGACGTTTTGGTCAATGAGGTTATAAAGGAGCTGAAAAGCACAGGAGCACAGGCTATCCCTAGCGGGCAGCAGGATACACCCTCCAGGTTTGTGAGTGTGCTCCATGATGTCTGCACAGCGACAAACTCGCCTCGGATGCGTTTCTCCGATCGTATCCTCGTAGTGAAGCAGTAGACAACTTGTCAGTCCTCTCTGGGTCACAGCAAACACAGCCTACGGAGCACCTCTGTGGATCTATCTTTCCCTTTCCCTTCTTCCCTCGCCTCCCCTTTGCAGCCTGATGATTCTACCCCAGAAATGGCTCCGGGCTGGTGAGCTCCTTCCTCTCCAATCCAACACTGCCCCTCTTGGGCCAGGCCCCTCATCGTCCCTCCTGGGACTATGCAGTCCCCTCCTAGCTGGGTCTGCCTCTGGTGGCTCCCTGGCCGCCCAGTCCAGTCACCTCTCCAAACACAGCCCTCGTCTCCACGCCCTTGCTCAGAGCTGCTAGTGTCTCAGCTCTCTGCCTCAGCCTCGCTCTCAGCAGTCTCCTGCACCGCACCCTGGCACTCGGAACAGGGGTCCCTTTTCTGAGCGTGACATTAATCTGTTAAGCCTTTGTTCACAATGCTCCCTCTTCAAATCTTCCCATTTCTGACTAAGACAATCCCCTGACCCCCCCTCACTTGCTCTGTGAGGCCATGGGTCTGACTCTATGTGCCTCACCATGTCAATGGCCTATCCCAGTGGTCGGCAAACCATGGCTCGTGAGCCACATGCGGCTCTTTGGCCCCTTGAGTGTGGCTCTTCCACAAAATACCACGTGCGGGCGCGCACGAAAGTGCGATTGAAACTTCGTGGCCCATGCGCAGAAGTCGGTTTTCGGCCTGGGTGAGTCTATTTTGAAGAAGTGGCAGAAGAAGTGGGGGGTGTCGGTCGGTCGGGCGACGGGAGACACGGCGCAGGCGGGCCGTGGGATACCCAGCGTGGGGCAGGCGCACGCGATTCATGCACGGGTTGAGTGAGCCAGTCAGTCAGCGGTCTCATTGTGCAGTGGTTAGTGCTAGTTGTGTCCGCAAATCGTGCGCGGGTGACAAAAGTACCTATTCGAAGCATAAAGTTACCTGTATTTTTCCAACCAGCTGCAAATCCTACAGGTATTTTTGTCATCAACTTAGGAATTGTAATTATTTTGTGTTGGTGGCTTTATTTTAAAATAAAACATTTTTTTAGGTGCCTGTTTGAGATGGCTACAAAGAAGAAGCAAAGAAATCGGAAGACGAAAACCGTGAATTTAAAGTTGAATGAACCTACCTATATAGTTTAAGTTTAAAAAATTTGGCTCTCAAAAGAAATTTCAATCGTACTGTTGATATTTGGCTCTGTTGACTGATGCGTTTGTCGACCACTGGCCTATACTGCCTTCACTAGGCAGAGACTCCTGGGGCTAGACCCCTGTTGACCAAGCCCGTGTGCTGGCTCCTGGTGGCCGGGGCACCTCACTCTGCTCACTCCCACCCTGAACACATGGCCTGTGCCCCATGGATGTCAGTCCTCTCTCTCCCGAAGGTCCCTGTGCACGTGACCACTCTCTTAATCCCAAGCACCTGGCCCGCAGAGTCCAGGAGCAGGAAGCGACTCACTCACCCTGAGCTGGACCACTGGGGGAGGTGGTGGCAAACGGGTTCTTCCCCCGGCTCCAGGGACCCCAGGAGAAGCAGGCCAACAGCGCCGGGAGGCCGGGTCTCTCCCAGGCTCCTTCTGCTAAAAGGAACACAAAGTCCCAGAGGCAGCAGGTCACATGGTGCTTGACACAACTGAGAGATTTTCAGGTAAGCAAACCAAGAGCTTCAACTATTAACTGCCCTCGTTTCAACTGTCTGATTAAAAACAAAGATTCTGATTTGCAAAAGGGGGTGGAGTTTTTATACTTCAAACAAACAAACAAAAACACAAACAGCCCTGGCCATACGGCTCAGTTGGCTGGAGCGTCGTCCTGTACACCAAAAAGTTGTGGGTTCGATTCCAGCCAGGGCACAAACCTAGGTTTCAGATTTAATCTCCGGTGAGGGTGCTTTATATAAGGATTGCTTTATACATATTATATCACTTCTTCCTCACAAAGACTCTATGACCTAGGTTCCATGTTGGGGAAACTACCTTGATAAGAATGACATGATATGAATTACAATTATATAGCACCAAAGAAAATACTCAAGGAGCAGTAATTTCCCCGCTTTTTAGTTCAAACTATTTCTTAATATGAAAAGGCTTAATCTTTTTAAATAATCACATACAAAACACTTATATGCTGATTCTAGTTTCCTTATTATAGCATCACCTAAGTGATGTAGGGATCACTTAAGAGCCCCGACCTTGTGGAATAAGGTAACTGCAATGGAGTTACACACACACACAGACACACACAAAACACTCCAGGAAGCCAAAACAAAATCGGTGTTCGTTTTCCTTTACATGGGGCTTATTTACTCTTAATTTGCACCCAGTTCTAAAAAGTCTGGATTCCTAGTTTTTCAACCCATTGGCAGCTGGGTTAGGCATAAGCTGGGTAAGAGGGCATGTCAAGAGGCAGGCAATCAAAAGTATAAGAATAACCAGGAGGTAGTGAGGAAGGGGATTGGGAGACTTTAAAAAGCCACACGCAATTGCTAGGTAAACCTTAGCATCATGAATGTGTGAGCCCACTGCAAAAGCCCAGACAAAATTAGTGGACAAATAAATTAGTGGACAATAATCACGCTCATGACCTGTAGTCATTAGTAAAAGGTTTCAAATTGTTTAGTGTGTTTTTATAAAAGTAGAAATGAGTTTAATGCAGTAGAGATCAATTCAGTGTTTAAGAAGAGGTAAGGATTCTGCATGCCAGGAAGATCATGGGAAATGGGAATATAGTGGTGATTAAACTCATAAGGAAAAGTGACAAAACCATTGGTAAGAAACTAGAGAGTGGAGGTAGGTTTGAGGATTTCATTTTTGATCCTGTAAAGCAGTAAGGGAGGTCAGGGAAGACTTCTTGGAGGAGGAAGTCCAGTTCTGAATGATGAAATGGGGTTGGTCAGCTGAGGAGGTGAAATGAAAGAAAAGGCCTTGAAAGAAAGAGAGAGAGAGAGAGAGAGAGAGAGAGGAAGGAAAGAAGGAAGGAAGGAAGAGAAAAAAAGAAAGAAAGAAAGAAAGGAAAAGAAAGAAAAAAAGAAAGGCAGGCCTTTAAGGCTTTCATTCCAGGCAACTGCAATGTGTATACAAAAGCTTAGCAGGCCAGAGCAAGCTTGGCTTTGGGGGATTAAAAGCTATTTCCTGGGGAATGGGAGAAACTAAGGGCTCAGAATTTTTCCAGGCACCAGCTCCTTGGGTGTGGGGGAAGGTAGAAAATGTCCTCCCATGGGGCCAGGCCAACCATAAGAATGACAGTCCACCTCAGGACATTCCCTGTCTTTCTGGATGCAGGTTGTGGTTTCGAATTTACCCGGCTTCCTCACAGATGCAGCAGAAAGGGCTGTGGGCATGGGGGGTGGGGTGGGGGGGATGGTTAGGGCAGGTTCTATAGGTGAGAGGGATGGCCTCCACCTAGGCAGGCCAGGCTGGCAGGTAGGTCTGTGACATTTGTGACTTCAGAGGTACAGTTCTCCTTTCTGGAACCGCGCCCCCCCCCCCAAGTCTGGCACCTCGGGGTTGCTGATTAACACAGCAGTGTCCAGGGAGGCAGAGCACAGCCGCCTCTGTCTTCACAAGAAAGTTTGGCAGATAATGGAGGGAAGGCCAGAGGGCTTGGAGAAGAGCAGGTGCTGGAGGTGGGGGAAGCAGGGAGTGCAAAGAATGCTCCGGTATCTCCCAGCTGTGCCAGAGCCAGCTATACTTAAGGTCTGTATTTTAATCCGAGGACGCTGGAAACTCCTGGAAAACCTTGTGTACCAGGAGGGAGGAGATTCTGACTCTTCTGTGGATGGCAGCAGAAGAAGACCCTCACTCTGCTCCCCAAACTCCAGGAGAGCGTGAAGGGAAGGGAGGTGGCACTGCAGTGGCTGCACAAGCAGGGCGGGTAGCCAAGAGGGACTCGAAAATTCTGTGTCCTCAGTCAGTCCCTCACACCCTTTCCCCACACCTCCACGTCCCAGCACCTATTCCTTGCCTTCTTCCTATGACCCGCGGCGCTTACGCACTGAGCCTCTCCACCTTCGCATCCTTAGCTGCGCAGCGTCCTAGGAGGTCCAGGCACCACCGTTCCCCGCCCTCCAGTCCTAATTCGGTCCTAATCCCGCCTTGAAATGTGTGTACCCCAAGGCTTTCCCATCTCCTCCCACTCCTCTCTCCCCGCAGCTCCCAGATCTTTGACCAGCTCAGTACAATCCTCTTGCTCCATCAACTTCCTCCGCCTTCTGTTCGTTCCCTCGGCTTTCTCAAGCCACTGTCCCCCATGCTTTCAGGATCCTCCCGGGACAAGCTCGACCCCTGGCCCAGGGCCTGCTCCGCGCTAGCTGGGAGGACCAATGCTAGGCACCTCCCCGCTCGGGGCCTCAGTTTACCTCGGTGCACCAGGGGGCTGGCCTAAAGAGTTCCAACTTCGGGGCCTTCCCCCAGCCACCGCCCGCC